TCACCAATTGGCCCAATTGGTGTGAGGTTTCTCTTCGTCCTATAGCTTATCCGAGGACTGTCAAAGGGACACAGTGTTTGTCAGGATCTCTTGGTTGTTAGTAACAGAAAACCCAATTCAAAGAAGTTAAAACAATGAAGGCAATAAGTTGGCTCACTTAACAAAAACCCCATGGAGTTTGCTGGTCCAGTGGCCTAGTGTTAGAAAAGGACCCAGTTCCTTTCTGCCTCTCGGATCTGCCATCTGCAGCATCTTCTTCATCCCCCACCTGACTCCCATCATGGCTGGAGGCTGGCCGACTGCCAGCTGCATCCAAGCCTGCACCTATCTGCACATCCAGCAGATAGCTTCTGTCCTAGCGTTTTGAGGAAGAATTTGAAACTCACCCTGATTTGACATGCTTATGTCATATGCTTAACCCTGAACCAATGAATGAAGCCAGTCAATCAGGGGCCATCCCTGGTGTTTGGGCAGAGTGGGCCATCTCTGAAGTTCAGGGGCTGTGTGGAGAAACTAATATATGATAACCTCAGAAAGGAGGAAGAGAGGAATGGATACTGGTAGGCAGCAATAAATATCCTTCGTTGGGATGATCTAGTTTGGAAGTTGTAGAGGGGAGTGCATCTCAAGGTTCTGTGATCTTAGATATGTGTTCCCGAAGAGTGAATAAGAGCTATAATGTGGAATATATTAAGAAGGATTTCCATCCAACCCATGGGACAGTCACAGGAATCAAGGAATACTTAGCTCTCATGGAGACTGGTACCTGAAGGATACAACACAGCTCTAAGGACAGAGTTTATTAACCCTTTCAGCAGCGAGAATTCATCAACACCCCACCTACTACCATCATTATGCTCACTCAGTAACTCTCCTCTCTGCTTCTAACTCTCCTTTTACTGCCAACAAATCACTTTACTCTTTTTTGTCTATGTTTATTCACATGTTCTTCTGCCTTATAACTTGTAAACCATGATTTCAACTCTCTCATGGCCTGTTTCCTCATGGCCTCTTCATGTGTGTGTCTTTTCAGATTCTACTTTACCTGCCAATTGCTCAATTCTATCAGTTTCAGGGAGCTACATGGTGAGAAAATCCTGTAGCTGGGCTTTGAAAATGGATGATTTGGAGAGAAAAAAGAAAGTTATGTCATTTCTTCTATAGAAAAATATACATGATGATATTTTTGTGGCAGTAAGAAGACTGATTTGCTAAAGCAGAAGAGCATGTTAGAGATGAACAAGAGAAATAAAGTTGGAAAAGTAGAGTGGCACTGATTATAGAGGCTTTGGAAATAAGGATCTATTGAGCAAAGCACTCATCTGGCCTCTTCATTATTTCTACAGCTAAGTCAGTTTCATTTGACTTCTTATCTTCTTTTACCCAATAGCCGGATATTTCTTGTCCCTAATCTCTCTCCACTTGTTCTATCACGCCAACTCTAGGCGAACTCAATTGGGCTAGAAATTAAAAGTGAGGGGCAGCACCCACCTATGAGTCATGCCATTTACCATTGTCCTACTGAGACGTTAGACCTGCAGTTCTCAGCCCCATCAGACTCAATGTCCCCATTTTATAAGAAACATTTCTATAATTCTCCCTTTGTTATCTTGAAATAAAATTCATATATAATATGATGTATCTACCTAATTATTACGGGCTGAGTTGTGTCTTGCCAGAAATTCATATGTTGAAGTCCTAACCTCCAGTACCTCAGAATGTGACTATGTTCAGAGAGAGGGCATTTAAACAGGTGATTAAGTTCAAATGAGGTCATTAGGGCAGGCCCTAACCCAATATGACTGGAGTCCTTATAAGAAGAGGAAATTTGGTCCCAGACATGTAGACACAGGGAGAGGAAGGCCATCTATAAGCCAAGGAGACAGGCCTGGAACAGATCCTTCCCTCACAATCCCCAGGAGGAACCAGCCCTCCTGACATCTTGTTCTCAGACTTCTAACCTCCAGAACTGTGAGAAAATAAATGTCTGTTGTTTAAGCCACCTGGTCTGTAGTGCTTAATTATGGTGACCCTAGCAAACACTAATTATATATAATGCTTTTATAATAACATAAAGAAGAAAAAAATGGAATGTAATTTACAATAAGATATGTATTTCCATGTGTAAATGCTCAAGCACAACTATGCCACAAGACATAATGCTTATATCAATACTATGGACGCAGCAGCTGTAAATCATTACAGAGTGACAGACGCATGCAGGCCAACTCAGATGTGTGCGGTATTGGCGACACAAATACAGAAAACCTCAAGCAACATTACATTGGCACATGATTTTCAGCCAGAGCGAACGACTCTTGGTAAAGTTCCAAACAAAACAAAGAACAATTTTCCCTCAATTTACATGGTAGTTGCATTCCTGGAAAATTCAAGAAATACATTGTCTGTAACATAGGGATAGGTTCCAGGCACAGACAATTATAAACAGGGTTTTCATCTACATGAATGTCCTGTAGAACATTTGAAAGTCACAGACAGTTCTTTATTTTCCTCTACATGTTGCAGGATGTTGAGATGTCCAGCATCCCTAGCCCATATCTCTCAATGTCAGTAGGGTACCCTGTCATCATGACAACCAAAAATGTTTCCTTATTTCCAAAATATTCCCTAAATAGGAGTACCATCTTGTTGAGAATCACTGAAATAAAAAAAAAAAAGAGGAAACAATAAAATTTATGGTATAACTTTTGGTGTTGGACCAGCTCC